TGCATGGCGCCAGAAACAAGGTGTGTGTTTAAGATGGCTGTATGATGCACCACACAGAGGGGACACCAAGCAGAGAGAGGTCAGTGAGTTGACCTAATTCTCAGCCTCATGGCCTTCGGTTAAGTGCCCGAATGAGCACTATCTAATCTAACCACAGGACCACTGGGTAAGTCAGACAGTTTTTCCGCACTACACAAAGGTCTGCCCAATGGGGTGTGTAGGGCAGCCCTTGGCCCTCCTACCAAGCAGGATGTGCTGGTGTATCCCGAAGATGCTTTCCCGGGGACCCGTTTTCTGCCAGCACAGTCAAATAGAGAAACAATTTTCCCCATTGCGCTCCAAATCCAAAGTAGGCAGACTAGCTACAGCCCCGTTTGCTCACCAGCCCCTTCCCTGAGCAGACAGCGGCTCACCACGCCATCTCATTCCCACCTCCACGCCTGTAAGCCTCCACAGCCCCCTTACCACACCGCTCATTTCTTTTAGCCAAGCATCCCCTGCCTCTGACCTTATTCAGATCATCCCTGCATCCCAGCCCCACTCCAAATCCTTATCTCCCACTTAACCTAGGCCCTCCCTCCATCTAGATGCCTAGCTCCCACACCTTCCTCTTCTCTGATGTGTTTCCTGTATGGGCATTAGCTCAACAGGCACTTGTCGCCTGCGAGTCTGTGGCCAGTGTGGGCGCGGCAGGGACAGCTCAGATGTAAACTCCCAGAACAGAGACACAAAGCCTGTGACTGTAATGCTCACTGGGCTGTCGTGAGAAGCAATCTGTGTCCATACCTAGGCTCCCTCCTTTGAGAAAACAGGGCAACATTCCCTCATTTAGTCCATTAACTAACCACACACCCGGTGATCACTTAGTATTGGCCAAGCACTGGTAATAAGTGAGGAAGGCACAATCCCTCGAGACTGTTGATTTAATTGAGCAGGGGTTTGGATCTTCTGTGTGCAAAGCACTGCATGGTTGTTGTTAGGGGCCGTCGAGTTGGTTCCAACTCGGAGTGGCCCTATGTAGAACAGAACGCGGCATTGCCCGGGTCTGCACCATCCTCCCAATTGTTCCTATGTGTGAGTCCATTGTGTCAATCCATCTAGTCCCGAGTCTGTGCCTCTGCTTCATCAAGTGTGATGTCCTTCTCCAGGCACTGGTCTCTCCTGATAACACGTCCAAAGAACATTAGACAAAGTCTCATCATCTTTGCCTCTGTGGGGCATGCTGGCTGTACTCCTTCCCAGACAGCTTTGCTTGTTCTTGTGGCAGTTCACGATACTTTCAAGATTCTTGGCCAACACCATAGTTCAAGTGCATCCATTCTTCTTAGGTTTTCCTGATTCAATGTCCCACTTTCACATGCAGATGAGGTGATTGAAAAGATCATGGCTTGGGTGAGGGTGTACCCGAGCCCTCAAAGTTACATACTTGCTTTTCAACACTTTGAAAAGGTTTTGTGCAGCAGATTTACCCAATGCCATGTGTCATTTGAGCTCTTGACTGCTGCTTCCATGAGCGTTGATTGTGGATTCAAACAAGGTGAAATCCTTGACAACTCAATCTTTCTCCGTTTTTCATTATGTTACCTATTGGTCCAGAGGATTTTGGATATTCTTTACAATAAATCAGGAGCCTTGATGAGAGTGGTTATACATTGGGCTACCAACTTCAAGGCCAGCAGTTCAAGACCACCAGATAGGGCTTTCTACTCCTGTAAAGAGTTACAGTCTCAGAAACTCACAGGGGCAGTTCTAACTACCCTGTAAGGCTGTGAATAGCATCAACCTGATGGCAGTAAATTTGAGTTTGCATTGGGTTGTAAGCCATGGTGAAGGCTGCAATCATTGGTCTTCATCAGCAAGTGTTTCACGTTCTCCTTGTTTTCAGCAAGCAGGGTTGTGTCATCTGCATATCACAGCTTGTGAATAAGCCTTCCTCCAATCCTGATATCTCATTCTTGTTCATATAATCCAGCTTCTCTGATCATTTTCTCAGCATACAGATTGAATAAGTATGGTGAGAGGAAGCAACCCTGACTCACACCTTTTAAACCATGCAGTATGCCATTGCTCTGTTCACACAACGACCTCTTGATCCATACCTGGGTTCTGCATGGGTACAACGAAGTGTTCTGATGTTCTCATTCTTCTCAAAGTTATCCACAGTTGATTATGATCCACACAGACAAGTGCCTTAGCTTAGTCAATAAAACATAGGTAGACATCTTTCTGGTATTCTCTGCTTTCAGCCAAGATGCATATGATGTCAGCAAGGATATTCCTTGTTCCGTGTCTTCTCTGAATCCAGCTGAACCTCTGGCAGCTCCCTGTCATTGTACTGCTGCAACCGTTTTTATTAAATGATCTTCAGCAAAATTTTACTTGCATGCAATATTAATGATAGTATTCTACAATTTAAGCATTCCTTTGGGTTGCCTGTCTTTGGAGTGGATACAAATATGGAACTCTTCCAGTCAGTTGGCCAAATAGTTGTCTTCCAAATCTCCTGGCATTGATGACCAAATGCTTCCCATGCTTCATCAGCTTGTTCTAACATCGCAATTGGCATTCCACCAATTCCTGGAGCCTTGTTTTTGGCTAATGTTTTCAGGGCAGCTTGAACGTCTTCCTTCAGAATCCTTGGTTCTTCTCATATGCTACCTCTTGAAATGCTTGAATGTCGACTAGTTCTTTTTGGCACAGGGGCTCTGTGTATTCTTTCCATCTTCTTTTAATGCTTCCTGCATCATTCAATAATCCGCCCATAGAATCTTGCAACATTGCGACTCAAGGCTTGAGTTGCATTGCACTAGACTCTGGCATGAACATATAAGACAAGCTCTGTGATTGAACGATAGTCAAGTAAAAGACTAGGGCAATGCATAGTGGTACATCCTAAGTCAAGGCTCTGCCCAGAATGTGGGGGAAGCCCAGGAAGCACAACTGGTCCACTTTACAGCTCAGACGAAAGACAGCAATGCAGCCATCCACTCACTCTTTCAAATTTACTTATAGTCTCGTATCATCAACTCACTGTCTGGATGCTGAAGAGATGGAACCCTTCCCCAGGAAGCTAAACATTCCAGGGCTAGGGGGAGACATACACAATAAACAAATATTATGGTATGGGGGCAGTGGTGGTTCCTTGGTAGAATTCTCACCTTCTATGCAGACCTGGGTTTAATTCCTAGCCAATATGGCCCATGGAGAGCCACCATCTGTCAGGGGAGGCTTGATTGTTGCTATAATACAGAGCAGGTTTCAGCACAGCTTCCAGACAAAGATGAAGAAAGGAGAAAGGCCTGACACAAATCAGGCAGTGAAATATTCAATGGATCACCACGGTCTGATCCAATGCTGTGGTAGTTACATAATCTGTTATCAATTTGAGACTAAAGAGTGAAGGGGTGGAGTCTAGCCTGTCAATCAGATCGCAGCTTGATCACCTCATTTGGAGGTGCTAAGGAGATAAATAGCTCGCTGGAGGTGGAAAACACGCTCACTCCCTGCAAGACATTCCCGTTGACAAGACACATGGAGCTACACTAGAGCTCAGGAGCCGGAGGAGCCACATGAGAGACCCCTGCCAGCACTGAGATGCATCCACCACCACTGATTCCAAAAGACCTTCCACCCACTGGCCTGTGATCTTCCTACTTCAGTGTCATTACATGTGTTAAATGAGTCTGAAGAGGACTTTATAAAATGGTATCAGATATATAGGCTAATATTGAACTTATGGACTTGATCTGGACTGGGCTGGGATGTTTTCTCAATATTCAATTGCTCTTTTCTACAAAGTTCTTTCTTATACACCTACGAGTGTCTCTCTGAATGTGTTTCTCTAGTCTGCCCAGACGAACACAAACACCGCTCACAGGGATGATGCAGGACCAGGCAGCGTTTCATTCCATCCTGCATACGGTTGAGGGCCAGCATACCGGGCGCTAAGGAGAACAACATACTGTGCTACACAATGACAGAACTTTGGAGAGAAATGAAGAAAATGGAGGGACACGGGGAATATTGGGGTCACAGGGACAATGCTTCTTTTATAAATTGTGGTGAGGAAAAGTTTTCACTAAGAAGACACTTGATTGCTCAGCTGGATGTTGAGTTTATGTTAATGGTGGTGGAACAATTTGGAGAGGGATATCAATAACAGTGGTACCACACAAAGAATTTAATCAATGGCACTGGATAATACATGTAGAAGTTGTTGTATTGGAGAATCTTTTGTTGTGTATACTTTTGCCACAATTAGAAAAAATAATTGCATGAATAACAATGAGTACAAAGAAATCAGTTGGTAGTAAAACATTTGTAATTTCAACAATTAAAAAAAAGACACTTCGGGAATTACCTGGAAAACATAGACCATGCGTGTGTGTTTGTATGAAGAGAGGTGTAGGAATGAGAGAATTGGCAGATTGAGGAATGACAAACACTTGAACAGGAGAGGAGGGGAAACTGGGGCAACGTTTAGACCCAGTTGAAAGGCCTTGATTGCCGTGTTAAGTACTAAAACCCACCCTGAGGGCAAGAGGGAACCACGAGTGTCCTTCAGCAGATGAGTGATTTCTTCACAGGCACTAAGGCCATATTTTCTAGCTATGAATTGATTTATTCCAGAATTCCCCCCAATATCCTCTGGGCCATTCACTATGAGCCTGTTGTATCATACTGTAGCTTCTGTGAGAAGAATCTGTGTGTATGTCTTATTCAGTTACCAGTCGGTGGGAAGGAGAGGTCAAAAGCCATGCCATTTCTGTAGACTCGTCATCTAAAACATATTGTGCTATGTTCAGTAGATGATTACAACGTGGATAGGTGCTTGGGTGAGTGGATAGATGGGTGGGTTTGTGGGTAAAAGAATGAATGGATGGATGATGGATGGATGGATGGATAGATGTGAGTAACAAAAATGAGAAGGCCTAGAATTCCTGGGTGGTGATGAGAACATGCAAAATAATAAAATCCCCATAAACATTGGTCAATTGCAGATGTATGCAAGGATGGTCCAGTTGCTGTGGGGCTGTTTCTTCCTGTGGAGCCTCAGCATTGCATCTTCTCAGACCATTTACCCTGGAATCAAGGCAAGGATCACCCAGCGGGCACTGGACTATGGTGAGTCGGATGCTCTTAGAAGCCAGGATGGAAACCACCTAGGTGGGTCTGCAGCCAAAGTCCCAAACTCATAACCACGAGTGTCTCATGACCAACTCGACTGTGGGGAGTTCGCACTTGACTACAAATGGAAAGATTGGTGGTTCAACCCCACACACCCCCAGCAGCACTGTAGAAGAACGGCAATCTGCTTCTACAAAGACTGCAAGCGTAAAAAATAAAACATGAAACACCTCTGCTCTCGACACATGGGGTTGCCATGAGTTCGAATGAAGGTTTGGCTTTTGTTATTGTTTTTGATTGTGGGGTCAAGACGGACCAACCAACTTTGGGGTAACTTCTTGTCTTTCCCCCACTTCTCATCTGGTCTTCACCCACGGCCATCAAATTGATTCCAACTCATCCCAAGCCCCGAGAGGGTTCCTGAGACTCTAACCTTTTACAGGTGTGAGCAGACCCATCCCGTGACTATCAGCCCCATGTTACCAATCCAACTAGTGAGGGACAGAGAGGTGATGTAGATGGCACAGTCCCACAAGCTAGTGAATGGCAATGTTGGGATGCAAACCCATGATGTTGGATAACCCCTTTGGTGCTATATTTACATTAGAGGAGACTTCAAAACGTTTGTGGAAACATTGGCTTAAAAGATCATGGATTTTTCTAGAGCCCAGCAATCCCTTTGATGCGTATATATCCTGAAGAAGTAAGAGCCAGAGCACGAACAGACATACGCACACGCATGTTCCTGGCAGCACTGTTCACAATATCCACAAAATGGAAGCAACCTAAGTGGCCATCAGTGGGAGAATGGAGAAAGGAGCTTTGATGCTAGCCCACAGTGGAGGACTAGGCATCACTACAGAAAAAAAATACTGAAATGACAAAGCACTGGAGGGCGTGGATGAACGTGGAGAACATTACGCTGAATGAAATGAGTCCATCGCGAAAGGGTAGATACTGTATGAGACCCGTTTCATAAACAAAAATCAAAACAAAGGTTTTAATATCAAAGGAAATAGACCTCAGTGTTTACCAAGGAGGGGAAACGAAGAGAGGGAAGGCGGAGCAGTGGGCTAGATGGGTAAACAGGTGTTAACTCGGGTGAAGGTAAAGATGCGATTCCAAAGAGGGACATCAAGGGTCAGTCGGGCAGGCGATTGGAGGGGTCACATAAGTAGCTTAAATTGTGAAATATAAAAATCATGACCTGAAATGGAAACCCCCAACTAATTCGCAATTTAAAATTAAAAAGAAATGTATAAACCTCCGTGGAGACTATATCAAGAATGCAGCACTTTACATATTGATGTCTTTGTTTGTTAAAAGTGTCTATTCTTTTGTAGTAATATTTTTTGACTTAACTTTTATGTCTTATTGTTAGGCTTATAATCAAAATGTTTTAGTTTTGTAATGTGTCCACCAATGCCCAATATTTGATGGCTTTGTGAGTATAATTATAATGTAGGGGGAAAGACCATGGAATTGGTCCACAAATCATTTAAGACCTTTCATGTTATCCATGGCACTCTAAAGGGTAAATCCTGACCCTCATCGTCTCCAAGAAAGATAGACTACGGGAAATGAGCTGCAGATGCAAAGAAAGGGATGAGGACCAAATTCCAACATAGCATCAGAAGGGCCCAAGGTTAAACTGAAAAGATCAGCTATTATCACCAAGTCCCTTGGCTCGGGCTCTTTATCCCGTGAGATCAGAGAAAGGGGGTCTGTCGCGCTATCCTACGGAGCCTGGCAGGTTATTCCAGAATGAAATGAAAGCAGTGCTTCCTAACCTTCTTGGAGTCCTAGGATGCGTGGTGATGTAGCAGTTTGCCATTCAGCTGCTAGCCACAAGGTTAGCAGTTCAAAGCCACCAGCCGCTCCTCCAGAGAAAAATTAGGCTTTCTACTCCAGGAAAGAGTTACCATCTTGGAAACCCACAAGGCAGTTCTATCCTGCCCTATAGAGTCCCTCTGCATTAGCAGTGACTAGATGGCAGTGAGGAGGATGCGTTGAGAAAGGGCTGAGAATGTGGGTGTGTCTCCTGGAACATGAGGCACGGATATGCACACATACAAACACACCCACCAATGACACATGGCACCCACCCACAGTCCTACATTAGAATTCCACGGATCTCAGAAGGTTTCTGAAGCCCACGGACTTGAGGTTAAGAAAAAATCCTGAACTTAAAGAATCTGGAAGAAGTGGAGAATGTGAAGTACAGTTCTGGAACTGGCCAGCCAACACAGAGACTTCAGGGCCAAATGGTCTCAACTTAACGGCTGCCTCCTCTCCTTCTTAGTTGTGTGATTTGGGGAAGAATTAAATTCTCCGAAGCTCAGTTCCCCCCTCTGTAAAAGGTGAATGATGATAAGAATTTTAACCTGTGAAGGCTATTTTGGACTTTCTCCATCAGGCCGTGCAATGCTCAAGACTCTTAGCGGTTCGCCACCCAGGGGAGATTGCTCCTATTCACTCTGAGGCCTTGGGGAAGGTGCTTATACATCTGAGGATCCATGGTTTTCATCTGCCAAACAGACAGTAAGATCCACTTTGCCGAACTGCTGTCTCCTGAGTACCTAAGAGACCGCCGCGCTCAAAGAACAACTTGTGTGGTTGATGGTGTTCCACCAATACCGCCCCTGTTACTAACAACAGACACGTTCTTTGCTTCCCTTACAGGCATTCAAGCTGGGCTGGAGACAGTTGAGCAAATGATCATGGAGAGAGACATCCCCAGTTTAAACGGTTCTGAGTCTCTTGAGTTTCTGCAGCTGGATTATGTGAACTACAACTTTTCAAAGTAAGTGGGAAAAGAGAGAGCATTTTTATCAATGAAATTATTCATCTTGTAATCTCAGGGTTGAGAACTCCACCACCCTCTGGGCTGGTAGAATGCTGGGCCTGCAGAGGACCAGTAACCCCTTGGTAAAAAGCATATCAGCTGGTTGACTGACATGATAAAGAATCCAAGAGAGAAGAATCCTACAACTGACAGAGTGTGGCATTTGGATCAGAACACCTACATCTAAGTTGTGTGTTGATGGCACACTCACTGTATGTACCAGGTACATCTGCCCTGAGACTCAGGGTCCCCACCTCTAAGGTGAACACTATAATTCAATACAGCTGGGGTAGGAGCCCGGGTGATGTAGTGTGGTTACAAGTTTAGCTGCAATCCAAAAGGTCAGCAGTTCAAAACCATCAACGGCTCCTCAAGAGAAAAATGGGACTTTCTACTCCATAAAGAGTTTCTACTCCTGTAAAGAGTCGCCGTCTTTGAAACTCACAAGGGCAGTTCTATCTTGTCCTATGGGGTTGCTGTGAGTCAGCATCAGCTCCATGACAGTGAGTTTGGTTTTTTTTCGGCTCAGTTA